CGATGGTATTTGGACAACAGAAGTGTATCGGGACGTACGCGGAAGGAATCGGGTCACCGGAAGGGGTTCCGAGCACCGCCGACAAGATATGGACCTTATGGGCCAAAGGAGGGGACAGACCAGCCCACAAGGGGGCTGGTGCGCCCCCTCCCTTGTTTGGCCAGCCCTAGGGAAGGAAAAGGTGGAGGGCTAGCCCCTCCTGCCTTTTCCTCTCATGGGAGAAAGGAAAGGGGGGGCGCCACCCTCCCCTGCCTTTCCCCGCACTCCAAAAAGGAAAGGGGCGCGGCTTGGGAGGGACCCCAAGTAGGATTCCTCCTACTTGGGCGCCTCCTTTGGCTGCTCCTCCCTCCCACCTATATATATGTGGGAGGGGGCGCCTATCACACAACAGATAATTGCGTAGCCGTGTGTGGCACCCCACTCCATCGTTTACACCCCCGGTCATATTTTCATAGTGCTTAGGCGAAGCCCTGCGGAGATCATTGTCACCATGCCTTCGTGCTGCCAGAACTCATCTACTACCTCGCCGTCTTGCTAGATCAAGAAGGCGAAGGACGTCACCGAGCTGAACATGTGCAGAACGCGTAGGTGCCGCACGTTCGGTACTTGATCGGTTGGAGCGCGAAGAAGTTCGACTACATCAACCGTATTGTTAAACGCTTCCGCTTACAGTCTACAAGGGTACGTAGACACCCCCTTGTTGCTATGCATCTCCATGGATAGATCATTGCGTGTGCGTAGAAATTTATTGTTTTCCATTCAACGTTTCCCAACAGTGGTATCAGAGCCAGGTCTATGCGTAGATGATATGCACGAGTAGAACACAAAGAGTTGTGGGCGGCGATAGTCATACTGCTTACCACCAATGTCTTTTTTTGATTCGGCAGTATTGTGGGATGAAGCGGCCCGGACCAACCTTACATGTCCACACACATGAGACCGGTTCCACCGACTGACATGCAACTAGTTTTGCATAAAGGTGGATGACGGGTGTCTGTTTCTCCTACTTTAGTTGAATCGAATTTGACTGCGGCCGGTCCTTGAAGAAGGTTAAAACAGCAAACTAGATGAATCACCGTTGTGTTTTTGTGTGTAGGTGAGAATGGTTCTTGCTAGAAGCCCGTAGCAGCCACGTAAAACTTGCAACAACAAAGTAGAGGACGTCTAACTTATTTTTGCAGGGCATGTTGTGATGTGATATGGTCAAGACATAATGTGATATACGTTATTGTATGAGATGTTCATGTTTTGTAAGTTATCAGCAACCGGCAGGAGCCTTATGGTTGTCTCTTTATTGTATGAAATGCAAACGCCATGTAATTGCTTTACTTTATCGCTATGCGTTAGCAATAGTTGTAGAAGCAATAGTTGGCGAGACGACCACGACACAACGATGGAGATCAAGGTGTCGAGCCGGCGGCGATGGAGATCATGATGATGCTTTGGAGATGGAGATCAAAAGCACAAGAGGATAATGGCCATATCATGTCACATATTTTGATTGCATGTTATGTTTATCTTTTATGCATCTTATTTTGCTTAGTACGGCGGTAGCATTATAAGATGATCCCTTCACTAAGTTTCAAGGTAAAAGTGTTCTCCCTGAGTGTCCACTGTTGCTATAGTTTGTCGTTTCAAGACACCACGTGATGATCGGGTGTGAAAGAGTCTATGTTCACATACAACGGGTGTAAGACAGTTTTGCACATGCAGAATACTTGGGTTAAAATTGACGAGCCTAGCATGTATAGACATGGCCTCGGAACACTTGAGACCGAAAGGTCGAACGTGAATCATATAGTAGATATGATCAACATAGAGATGTTCACCATTGATGACTACCCCATCTCACGTGATGATCAGACATGGGTTAGTTGATTTGGATCACGTATCGCTTAGATGACTTGAGGGATGTCTACTTAAGTGGGAGTTCATTAGTAATTTGATTAATTGAACTTAATTTTTCATGAACTTAGACTTGATAGTTTTGCATATCTATGTCGTAGATCAATAGCTCGTGATATAGCTTCTAATTTTTTAATATGTTCCTAGGAAAACTAAGTTGAAAGATGATAGTAGCAATGATGCGGACTGGGTCCATGATCTAAGGATTATTCTCATTACTACACAGAAGAATTATGTCCTTGATGCACCGCTAGGTGACAAACCTATTGCAGGAGCAGATGTAGATGTTATGAACATTTTGCAAGATCGATATGACGACTACTTGATAGTTTAGTGCACCATGCTTTACGGCTTAGAACCAGGACTTCAAAAACGTTTTGAATGCCATGGAGCATATGAGATGTTCCAAGAGCTGAAAATTAGTATTTCAGATTCATGCCCGTGTCAAGAGGTATGAGACCTCTGACAATTACTTTGCCTACAAGATGGAGGAGAATAGCTCAGCCATTGAGCATGTACTCAGAATGTCTGGGTACTACAATCGCTTGAATCAAGTGGGAGTTAATCTTCCAGATAAGATAGTGATTGATAGAGTTCTCTAGTCACTATCACCAAGCTACTAGAACTTCGTGATGAACTATAATATGCAGGAAATGACAAAAACGATTCCCAAGCTCTTCACGATGCTGAAATCGGCAAAGGTTGAAATCAAGGAAGAGCATCAAGTGTTGACGGTTAACAAGACCACTAGTTTCAAGAAGAAGGGCGAGGGAAAGAAAGGAAACTTTAAGAAGAATGGCAAGCAAGTTGCCACTCCCGTGAAGAAGCCCAAAGCTAGACTCAAGCCTGAAACTGAGTGCTTCTACTGCAAACAAAATGGTCACTAGAAGTGAAACTGCCGCCAAATACTTGGCGGTTAAGAAGGATGGCAAAGTGAACAAAGGTATATTTGATATACATGTTATTGATGTGTATTTTACTAGTGTTCGTAGTAACCCCTAGGTATTTGATACCGGTTCAGTTTCGATTAGTAACTCGAAACAGGAGTTGCAGAGACTTGTTAAAAGCAAGGTGACGATGTGTGTTGAAAATGATTCCAAGATTGTTATGATCACCATCGCACACTCCCTCTACCTTTGGGATTAGTGTTGAACCTAAATAAATATTATTTGATGTTTGCGTTGAGCATGAATATGATTAGATCATGTTTATTGCAATATGTTTATTCATTTAAGTTAGAGAATAATTGTTGTTCTATTTACATGAATAAAACCTTCTATGCTCATACACCCAATGTGAATGGTTTATGAATCTCGATCGTAGTGATACACATATTCATAATATTGATGCCAAAAGATGCAAAGTTGATAATGATAGTGCAACATATTTGTGGCACTGCTATTTAGGTCATATTGGTGTAAAGAACATGAAGAAACTCCATAAGATGGACTTTTGGAATCACTTGATTTTGAATCATTTGATATTTGCGAACCATGCCTCATGGGCAAGATGACTAAAACTCCGTACTCCGAAACAAAGGAGCAAGTTAATGACTTATTGAAAACTAGTACGATGCCCGTGCGTTGCCACGGGCTAACAAAATATGTGTATAAAGGAAAATGCCATATGATATGAGAGTCATAGAGTAATCACATGGGATGATATCTCATGGTTCCGAAGTGGTAGATAAATGCATCTCCTCCTCATTGTCCTCTCCCTCCCTCTTCTCGGCGACCACGTGGCACTCTACTTTCTTCCACGATCATTTCTCCTCTATGTTTCTTCCTCAAACTCCACCTTGCACGATAGTACTAAGTGTCTTGTCGAACTCCGCTTGACCATCTCTCATAAATATAATAAAAAGGGCTGCCAAATGTCCAGCGAGAGATGAAACTTTACGGTGATATCTCATACCATGCATTCAACTTTCCAGATAAACTATTTCTAACTTCTACATTCCACACACTAACAGGTGATGGTACTTCAATAATAAAATATTCAAAATGCAACTCTAGTTATCAACCCATGCGGCTACAAAGGCTTTCTCTGAAAATACATTTGTATTGAAACATATATTCTCTAGGTAGTAGCTTAAGAAATTGAAAATATATGTTGTGTAAAAATGTTAGAAATATTGGATATCATCTCAATAGGACACATTTTCTTTCATGAGTTGGATTATCAATAAGAGAGCAAATTGGGATCCATATTATGCCAGCTTGCTGATCTATTTCTATTTACAATAATGGGGAAAACAAAGAAGCTTGCTTCGTGCTTTGGTGACGACCCTTCTATGCTATCGCTCATGTATCTATGTCAGCCTAATGTGGTTTTTCGTGGGCGATGGTGTTGTAAATCTTGTGGTGAACTTGGCATTGGTGACGACCCTTCTATGATATCGCTCATGTATCTATGTCAGCCTAATGTGGTTTTTCGTGGGCGATGGTGTTGTAAATCTTGTGGTGAACTTGGCATGGGTGGTTCGCCATGCTTGGTTTCTCCCCCTTGGTGATTGTGTCGTCTCCTCTGCAATAAATAATGTAACAAAGCGTGTTGTGCAAAACTATAGATACACCATTAACTGAAAAGATATACAAGGCGTGTTAGTGTAATACAACAAGAAGGCGTGTTGATGTAGTTTAGTGTTAACGCCAACTTGGTTCATGAAATTAGCCACTACATTATAAATTGGATACATTCATTAGCGGCATAACAAAATGGAAAGTACGTCTCATCATAATAATATGTAAAATGAACACCAAAGAATCTAAGCTTCTGACATATTGAGCGATAAAGGTCATGCTATGAGTACAAGTTGTACTTTCAAATTAGGCATGCAGATCGCTAATTGTATGATCTAGCTATCACCTTTGCTACACAAAACTGTTATCTATGTTGGAATCAACATCGAATTGAGAAACAGTATAACAGGGCTACCTAGGAGCCCCCACAGCGATTTAAAACTCCCAGCCATCCGATCACTCTGACTTACGCTCACGATTAGCTCGATCGTCCATCGTTGTTTGCGTAAACTTTTTACCTCCTGGCGTGGCCTGCCCAGCGTTACCTTTTTTTTTTGAAGGAAGCTAGGGCTTTTATTCAAAGTTCAAAACATCCGAAATACAAGCAATATCTGGCAGAACCCCTAGCCACACATGGCGACCCACCGCGAGAGACGCAGCTCCCTTAGCAAGCGAATGGGCCTCAAAATTATTAACTCTACTTTCAAAGCGGAAAGAAACAGATGTAAAGTTTGCCCTACTAGTTTGGATTTCCCTCGGAATGGGAGCATAAGATGGCGATCCTGCGTTGCTGATATTAGTTATTACTTCGACACAGTCTGAGGCAATCACAAGCTCCTGTAGGTTCAGATCCCGTGCGAGGGCTAGTGCCTCGCTGCATGCTTGAGCCTCCAAGCTTGCCGGGTCAGATAGGCCTTCGTACACCACCGCCGACGCACCTAAGTATTTCCCATTTTTATCCCGACATACAACTCCAGCTGCTCCCTTTTCCCCCAAAGATGATAGGCCACCATCACAGTTAAACTTTGCTGCATCGCCGGGTGGTGGTAGCCAGACTTTTGCATGAGGTCTAGCCGTACTTCCCTTGATTTTCTGGTGGCTGCGCATATTGGCTATCTCCAGATCTTCCATGAATCTATTGATAAAGCACATAGTTGACAGCGGGCTCTGGTATTCATTCTCATGGATTGCCTTCCTTCGAGCCCACCAAATTGCCCACATAGTTACCAAAACTCGAGCTAGGTCCTGCTGGTTGGTTGTTTCGAAAAGCCAGAACAGCCATAGCTTAGGATCCTCCGTTTGGTTTGAGATCACATGCCCCACCAGATCATCATCTTCCAACGCCCACACACATCTTGCCAGGCGGCAATTGAGTAGTGAATGACGCCATGTATCCTCTACCGCCCCACATAAGGAGCATGCTGGGGTATCAGCCATCCTCCTTTCATGCCGGACTATCCCCGTCGGTATAAATGTATGTGCCAACCGCCAAACAAAGACTCGAATCTTCGATGGAATCCTCACCTTCCACAACTGTGTCCAAGAGTTCTTGCTAGCTGCAATATTTGAATGACTTGGCCGATGCTCTAACCAGTCTTCCTGTTGAGTTTTGATGGCACAGATCATCCTATAGGCTGATCTTACTGAGAAAATACCACACCTATCATAGTGCCATGCCCAAAAGTCCTCTTGCATCTGCGTGCTAAGTGGTATATTAAGAATAGCCTCAACATCAGCCACAATGAAATGTTCAGTCAACGCATGCTTATTCCATGAGCGAGTAGCAGGGTTTATAAGCTCCGAGACCAAAACCGGAGGATTCAAAGAGCGGACACATATGGGTCTCAGTTTATAGTCCCTTGGGATCCAATTATCTTGCCAAACGTTTGTGTCTGCACCTTTTCCAATTCTCCTGACAAGTCCCAGTTGTAATATATCCCTTCCTTCAACAAGAGATCGCCAAACTTGGGAAGGGGCCGAACCCAGATTGGCCTGTAGAAGATCGGTGTTAGGGAAATACCGGGCTTTTAACACTCGTGCACTCAAAGACTCCGGTTTCTGCAATAATCTCCAAGCTTGTCGAGCAAGTAAGGCCAGGTTGAATAACTCAATATCTCGAAAGCCTAAGCCCCCCATAAACTTTGGTTTTGACATGGTTTTCCAAGACACCCAAGCTGTCTTTCTCTCGCCATTCTTACTCCCCCACCAGAATTTCCGAATCAGACCGTTTATGTGTTCACACAAACCACGGGGTAACTTAAAACATGCCATTGAGTAAGTCGGAATGGCTTGTGCCACCGACTTGATAAGAACCTCCTTTCCTCCCGCCGACAAACACTTTTCCATCCATCCTTGCACTCGTTTCCAGATTCGATCTTTCAAGTATTTGAAAGAGCCCTCCTTTGCTCTCCCCACATCCGAGGGCAGCCCCAAGTATTTCTCTGCCAAAGACTCATTGTGCCCAGCGTTACCTGGGCCACTGCTCCGCGCAACGAGCTACACCTTCTGTGCGTAAACAGGCTGTACAGCTCGAAGGCCCACAAAGCCCAGTGAAATGTGTGCAGCCTCCAGTTGTCCACCCTTATCTCAAAAAAAAAAACTAATCCCTACTTTATCTATCCGAATCCTTTTCCCCCAGCTCTCTCCCCCGAGTTACCTCTGTTTGTCAGCGCCACCGCCGTCTTACGTCCTGCCGGCGAGTACGTGTGCATAGGCGTCGGTACCTATATTCTTCCCCCGCAACCCCTCATGGTTGGTTTCTTTTTACCCATGTTGCATTCATCCATGGTGGCAGCAGCGGCGGCACGCCGGCGACATCCATCCCCGGTTGTCCTCGGCGATCGTCGGACTCCATGCCCTTGCAGCTGTACCGCCCCATTATGTTCATGTCATTTCAACGTGGAAGCTGACACCGCCACCGGCGTTTAATTATCCTAATCATTGCCGACTGTCTGCCTCCTGGTAATTAATCTCTGCTATCGCTGCGTTACTATCTTCTCCCACCATCGCTCATATATTATGCTCCGCACCTTCTCTTCCTTCCTGCATCCCGTGTCAGTCGGCTATCCTTCTTGGTCCCTGTAATTGTCTTTCATGCCTCCGTTTCAACGCAGCAGACTCAGCGCAGCGTTGCTCGGCTGCCGTATTGCAGTTCCTCAGAGGGTGTGCGTCCCCGCCAACCGCGACCATGGCTGCTGGACAGGTGTGATTGTTTACCAAATCTCACACACTGCTACATGATCTTTTGTTCAACTTTATTTCTATTACCTTCAGTTTGGCTGTGTATTATATATTTGTATACAATTTGTTTGATTTGTATTCCAGCCGAGCACATACACTTGCCTGCTCCCTGTCCTTCTGTTTGTTTCAGATTTCCACTTGTCTGCTCCATTTTCTTCTCTTTGTTTTAGACTTCACATGTTTATGTCACATGATGGTCCTCAGTGGTGTAGTTGGACGTTTAGATAACACCTGCAAGGGGTTTTTGATGGTGAGGAAGAAAAAAGGGAATATGTTCCACCTTATTAGAGACCATTAAGAGCCAATTTAGAGGTTAACAGACACAAATATTTCCTCCATTGATTGACGGTGTTTTCACAAATCAATAGTTGCTATGGTCGCTCGTTCGCTTTGTCTATAATTCCATATATATTTTTTATAGAAAGGCTCATTTGCTTCTTCTATGGCTTCTTTTTACGCAGGTTTTTCTGAATGCACTGAGTGTACCGCATATAAAATAGGAAAATGGTGTTTATGTGGCTAAATTACTTTGGTACTGTATGGAAGATATCACGGTGAAGCTTACCATTTTTTCTCTAGGTGTGACAAATGTATGCTCATTGTGCACACGTAGCAAGGTATGGCTTCTTTTTTCAGTGCCAATTACTTCTCTCCAGTTATTTCCAGGTTTTGTCTAATCTGAGTTGTCCATTGTACCTTCAAATAGACCGACAACTATATGGGGCTATACAGAAAAAATGTGAGTTAAATTGGCAATGAGGTTCTTGGCTGTCCTGTTTCCTTGGCCATACGAAAGATGCGTTGAACTGTGTTTCATTGTCAAGAATGCTAGGGCCTGTGAGATAGCCAATGGAAGGCAAATACATGGAAACGACTTTATTTCATTAGAAGTATTTTGAGTTACAGGTTATTTGTGCCTTGCACGATCGTCATTAGTCATCACTGATGTACATATTGTCGTCAGATGGATGCGGCCAAGTGGGTCTTCGTTTTCATCGTTGCTTCTATATCTGATTCTAAAAAAATAGGTGTGCTATTTTTAGAAATTGTGTATAGTTCTATTCATGTGACAATCAACGAGGGAACTAAATACATTGTACCTTCAGTGTTTGTTGAGCGGCTGTAAACGGCCAATTCCTTAAGACATAAAAAACTGCAAAAGACCAGTCTCATTGGGTATTGAATGCAAGATGCTCTAATCATAATCAGTGCAACTGTATAATAAGTAAAGAGATGGTAGGTCTTATTTATTTTTACGTCTTAATTTCTTGATGATATGGGTTCCTAAATCCAATTGTTAGGTGCACCTATTCGTACCCAATTGGTGTAGATCTCAGGAATTTACACAGTACCAAAAATTTCTTCGATATTTCTAACTATATATATTGTTCAAAACATTTTTATCTTTTTTATTTAGATGTCCTCAAGACTGACGGGCCCAGCAATGCGCGCCTCTATGGTCTAGTCGAACATATAAAGGACGCTAGGCTACCCACTCACCTGGGGCACTTGCGTCGCGCTTTCGATCTGGTTCGCTCGATCTGCCTCGCTGGAGGTTTTTCACCGCGCTGTCAAAATCCCATGGCATGTTTCTTTCCACGCTGCTTTTTCTTGTTCAAGCAGATGACGGGTGGGCCTTCTTCTCTCGCGGGCCTGGCTTGGCAGTGTGCGTGATTTGTTGCGTCGCCTGCGTCTTCGGTGAAAAATATCTTAACCGCGCCGGTCGTGGACGACTCATCCACCAATCCCCTGTCCTCCTCCCCACCAATCCCCGCGTCCTCCTCCCCACCAACCCTAGCCATTCTCTCGCCTCCCCTGCCCCCGTTCATCCTCTCCAACCGCCGCCGCCTCCCCCTCCCCTGTCTCTCCTCCTCTCTCCTCGTCACCATCATCGGGATGCAACAGCGCATCTGGCCGAAGGAGAGTGTGGCGGCTGTGTCTCCTAGCAATGGCAGTGGGGACGGGTTGATGAGGAGGCGACAACTCGAGAGGTAGGCAAGAGGAACACAACCCCCAGTTGAGGAGGAGCCGCTCGGCACAGGCGAGCCCGCTCTTCCTCCTTTCCTCATCTTCCGATCATGGCATGAGCTCCTCCCTCTAATTCACGTTTTTCTATTTACTTTTCCTTATAGATGTAGCTAGGGTTTGGGTGGGGGTTGGTTCCTACACCGATGACGGCATTTGCCAGCAGCAGCACATCCCTCGACTTCCGTAACCTCAGTTGCAGCTTGTCCCTGCACCCTTCTCTGGTCCTAGATAAAACTGTCATCTTGCTTCAGATTCAAGTGGTTCTTCCAAGTTGAATAATGAGTGGTGGGTATATGTTGTATGTTATCCCGTTTTGTCTTTACCCCATTAATGCATTTTTAGAAGATTGCATACATGGTATTGATGTGTCGGTAAAATCCTTTTAAATGAAAAGAAAGTGACTTTTTAATATAGTTGACCTGTCAATAGTTATGTTCATGAATGTAAGAGTTTTCTGAATTTTATCTTCTCATTTGCTGTTTTGACGGGAATCGCTAAACAACAATTAGAAGAAACTGTGTGTTGCAAATTCAGAACCAATTTCTCAAAAACGAATGAGTTCAAAAAGATTATACTGAACCAAAAGGACTAAGACATCATCAGTCAACCCTTGTTAAATTGTTAGATTGGTGTTGCCTTGTTTGTATATTCTTGATATATAGTGCAATGTTTGATAGTTTGATGTGTAATTGGGTTGATTTTGCTAAACTAAGCCTCTCTTAGTATATCTGGGATTATTACTAGAACATGTCGTTCCAAGTTGCAGCAATGATCTTTGTATTCATGAATAGTTCATATTTCTTCTAAATGGCAGTGCATGCCGCAGTAGCAAGGACAGACGACATCAATGCTGGTCAGCAACTAAATCGGCAAGCATTGATATTTTTATTAGGAAGGTAACACATCTTCCTATACTATATGTTTGTGTGATTCTGTTGCTTCTAAACCCAATCTATGTTGCTTCATCTCATGGATGAGGGGTCGGCTACAGGAGCGCTAGGACCCTAGGAGTGGAACACCACTTCCTCCAATATTGCCGAGGTGCTCCTCTCTCGTTGCTTTTACTTCCTCCATCGTTCACATTTAAACATGCTGATATATTTGTTTTCTAAAAATACATGTGAGTAGGCTTCCTGATTAGGAATCACGTAACTAATTAGCCTTGGTACCCCAGCCCAATATATTCAGCTAATCAGTTGTTAACATGGATACACTGAGCCAAATTATATGCGAGATCGGTTTGTGTATAATTCTTTTAAATTCAAGCTTTGCCTGTTGTACTTTGGTTGACCTGTTGTGCTTTGGTCAGCAGATAAAATGTGATGTTGTCCTGTTGATATTAAATATCCACACTACCCATGTAAACATGGGTACATTTGAGCTTGGACTAAGAACAACTATATGTGGTTAGAACTGGTATGTATACTCAGTTTCAAAATTGTGCATATGTCCCAATAACAGTTTGTGGAACTGGAGTTGATGGTATTGTATTTTATTTTCTGGACATATGGAACTATTAAGGAATAAATCTGAGGAGTCTTGGCAATGGCTTTGGCCTGACTAAGTTAAACAGTCAATATTTCCTGATCCATAGTGTAGAAGCCGCCTTTGTTTGGTTTGCATAGACATTGATCAATGCATTCTGAGAATATTTTGTGAGGTATCCTGATTTGCATATCACAGGCTGCTAGAGTTGTTCAAGCAGTTGTGTGCGTTCTACTTTCGATAAATTTGCTTGTACTTCGTTTAGTTTGAATAGGTACCATAACAAGGCTAGGTTCAGCAACTATTTGGTTGCTTTTTTTACATAACGGCTGAATAAAAATCATTCTCTTCTTTCCTTGGTGTTTACGGTTTAATTGCTATAGTTGCTGGAGCCATTGGCCTTTTATACATAATAGTGTATACATTTGTAATGTCAATCCTTGCTCATGGTACACCTTTCTTGGTTTTCTGGCGACAAGAATTAGCATATTAGCCATGTGTGTAGCCCTTGCACCGACCTCGGTATTGACAACAGATCCGACAAAAATTGCCAATTTGATCTTAACAATTATACTATGGGTTTGCCTTAGTTG